AGATTATATTTGTTGAACAGGAGACAGCAAAAATCGTTAAGTACGTAGTCAGCCATGATCTGTAATTTTCATATCGTCCCCGAAAGAATATTCAGGGGATCATTGAGACGTATAATTTTCATGCTTTAAAATATATATAGGCAAAATTATTTTTTGAAGATTTTAAAATAATTACATCAGAATAGTCACAAAACTTCCGGGGGAGGTAAACTGAATTTCTGTCATATTAATGAGGTGAAACTATTTGGACTTTCATGCGGTTACGTGTGACGGTTGTCACACGTAAGTAATTTTTTCTGAACGGCGAGAGATTCCTTCAGAAGCCTTCAGTGTACATAGATGGGTTAAGCGCAGTCGCCTTTTCTTGATCTCCGTTGGTTTAGTTATTAAATCACAGAAAATATTAATTTAACTACCGTACAGTTTCGACTACTTTTATGAAATAATATTTTCCGTGTTGTGCGTCCGTGAAGAATTCCTTGCGCGTTTTTATTCATGGCAGCCCTCTCCATGAAGTTTTGCCACCTGAAACCTGAAGTGAAATGTTCAGCTGAAATATGTACGTCACGCGAGTGAGTGTTAATTATATTTACGCTCTGAACACGTTCGCCACTTAATCTCTCGTCGCTGAGGATGTGATTGAAGTAAATATGTCTGTCGCGTATGCGCTGAGGCTTGAAATACGAAGATGGTAACTCTGTGTACCACCTGCTTTAACAAAACATTAATTCTGCATATCAGAATATATTATTGTATGTATATTCACAAACCCCAAACTTCAATTGTAAAATGAAAGTAACACAAAATTATTAAACAATTATTTATTTTAATCATATCGATCAATCGATATGGAACATCAATGATATTTTATTATCTTAATTATAAGAAATTTTAAATATTGTGATAAGACGGATTAAAATAAATAATTGTTAGAATATTCACAATATGACGCAATTACACTATCTTACGAAGGAATTTGTTTCAAATATATAAAAAATATATCATTTCCCTTTCTTGTTACTATGTCAACCAAGTTTTAGTCTTGATACAGGATTTCTAGTTTCACATTTTCTGTGATGTTGTCTCCGGAAAATGTCGGAAGATCTCCGCAACATATCAACTGTATCACCCACTTATAATCTTAAGAATATCTCGTTTTATGATAATATAAATCATATATATATTTCAAAAGAACTGAGGCAAAATACAAAATTACTTTTCAAGAGTATCGAATTTACTTAAGCCTACGAGTTTCTTTCATCTGCCGAAAGAGAGCAGCGTAGAGCGGATAATAAGATATACGCTAAGAGTTGGACTTGTGTTTACATTACATAAATATTTTGACGAGAGAAAAAATTGTATATTATTAACGTCTCTTCGTCTGTATACAAGTTTTGTCATCCTTCCACATATTTCTCCGTCATTCCGTCCTACTTCCTTTATTCATATAATTGTCTGTTGTCCTTTCTTATCTTTTTTCGTTGTATCTGTTCGAGCCTTTATCAGGGTCACGTTTTCTGTCATTCATTGAACGTGTTCTACCATTTTTCATATACAGAGTGTTAAGAAGACTCACTACAGTAGATACTTATTTTTAAGTCTGCAACGTGAAGAGATTTGCGATGTGTGTTTATGTCTAGGTTGGTAGCGCGGATTTATGAGAGTTTATTTGATATTTACATAACCGTTAAACGCAAAATGGTCTCAGAGAGCAGCAAATGTTTTGTACTGGGTAGTACCTTTTTGAATACACTTCATCTTAAAAACATTTCCTATGAAACGTGAATTTGAATTTCTCCTGTATTTTTCCTTCATGTTCTTGAATATCATAACCAAAAGTCCACCACTAGCTCAGATCTTAATGTATATAAAATTATATAATAATTAATTATAAATGAACAGTGAATTAAGAAGGATATAGCAGGAGCTGTCGTAGATTAATTTAGGGTGGTATCTCGGCGTATTTGTGGATGGACTAAGGACATTCACGAAAACCTTTTCAGAAGGGTGTCTCCGAACCGAGATTCAAACCCAGGACCTTCAGAATACGAGTCCAAAGTGCTGACCACTCAACCGCTGCCCTCGTATTTCGTCTCCTCTGATGCACAGATGCCATTTTTCTTAACTGATTGATGTCTGCATGCAAATTGTATCAAGCTGATAGCGTGTTTGCTGTTCGTGACTCTTAAGGCCGCTCCAATATTCACTGTCATGAAATAATAATAGTTATAAATATCCACCAGCGTCTTGCACGAACTCTACTTAACATTACTGTTCTACGAAGTTTCTTTACATAAAGTTATGTTCAAACAACACGTTAGAGACTTAATTGAAATTTTAACGGGAGAATAAATTTTTAAATAAAATAATTACATATTGTAGTTATTTATTTCATTGTAGTCTTGACATAATTACAGTTACATACACGTAGAAAGATTCCACTTTGCCATTATCATAAGCTTACCAATTGTATCTTTGTCATATTTAAAGAAAACTTTTAGGATCGTACTAACAGTATGTGGAATGAAAAATAAATTATACAATGTTAGGGAACAACAAGTCACTGATATTACTTACCCCAGACTTACGAACTCATAAGATGCATTTTGTACACAAATGACTAGTATATACAATGTTACCGCTTGTCATAGTCCATTTGAAGAACTGATTTAATGTAATCTTGAAGTGAACAGTTTAGGTACTAAGTGGTTACATTAGTGATAAAAAAATATTACATAAAACATTACTTACAAATGAAGTTTTTCTTTAGAGCGTCACTGTACGATGCATATGGCAACATGTAAGGTCCACAGTTTAACACCCAAATTCCGGTTTTAACAATCGCCATATACAGTAATTTTTGATTAATGCCTTGCGTTTTAGTTAAGAATAACTGTTATCAGGTGCAAATGTGCGATGCTAATTTTTATTCAAGACCAGTCCAGTGTCATTGTCACGTTGTCCGGAATTAAAGGAGGATTCATGAATCCTTTGAAACCGAACGTCTTATAAATAAGTCTAGTCTACCAGAATACTAAAGTTTTTTTGATTGCAAATTTTGAATTGTAAATAAAAGATTTCGTCATTCATCTTACGAAGACGGCTTTAGTTTCCAGCTATACAAAATAATATTTTATTAATGTCTTATTCACGTAACATAAATCAACCTCAATAGTTTTCTATCTTGCCATGTTGGTTTTATCGATTGCAAATATTTGGTCCGTACCGCGAAGAAAACACCACACTTCACCATTACGAAGATCAACTGGTTAACCCTCTGAAGCCAAAGCTCGTCCAAATAATATTTGAGAATTCAGCCCGTACCGCGAAGAAAACACCACACTTCACCATTACGAAGATCAACTGGTTAACGCTGTTTAATGGAAATAATCGCTCGTTACAGTGAGAATCATAGAGAGAGATCTAAGAACTGTCTATAATCTAAAGTTACCTTATTATGTAGTCTTTACTGGAACGCGAAATGAATATTGTCTTAGTACAGGGTTACTTTGTGTCTGAGTAAGGAATTTTAATGAATGACTTATTTTTAAGACGAAAATACGCACTGCACGAAGGATAAAGCAGGATTTACTTTATTTTTCACAACATATTCTTGTAATATTGCAGCATTTGATTACGAATAACATTTAATACAGTTAATAATTTTTATTTTTTTTAAAATATCCTCTTCATGAGTCACACATTCAGTACCATAAATTTTCTCCAGTGGAAATTCTACAAATGTAAATATATCATATCCCCACGTATTAACGGAATTGTGTCAACAAATTCTACGCCGATTTATCAAAGAAAGCAATAATTATTTTTATAGAGTTTCACGGAAATTTTATTTTCCATTTTTAAAACTCACAGATATTTATAATTAACAACGATGAAGTTACGTGTTTATTTTCACTGATTCTGTTGTCCGATTCCCGAAGCTCATTAAAGTTCATTTCCTACCGAAATAAAACACAGCTTATCTCTATTATAAAGCACTGATTAAGCTCTTGGTTTAAGTAGTCGGCTTGATGCAAATTGTAGCCCTGAAAAAGGTTCAAATAGCCTGGCGTATTGCTCGAATAATGACGGAAACCCACTTTGTATTCAAAATATTTTGATTTGCCTAGAACAAGGCTGCCTTATTCATAATAACCATATTCCACGTTGTTTCTCTGTGTTGCCTGGTAGAAGTTTGCATATGTTTCGGAGGTACTTGCTGGCTCCATCATCAGGGTCTGATCAGCGCATCATCGCCCTGATGATGAACGCAAGAGGTACCTCTGGAACGTCGGTAAACGTCCGCCAGACTTTTTTTTTGTAACAGAACAAAAGACAGTCATCTTATGTATCAAATTACTTTGGGTTCAGACACCAAAAACACCTTTTTTTTTAACAAGACGTAGAATTAATGAACCGAAAGCTGTCACACGCGTTTAGAGATTCAATAGTGAGCTTCATTTCACGGTGAAGTGCCGTTTCGTATTTACTCAGCTGTGATAGCAAACGTGGTTCAGCTGGACACCACGTGACCTCAATACACTGGCCTGATCCTACCTTGGCATTTCTTAAAATCCCTGTTAGCCAATAAGACAACCCACGTATCTAGCATCCGACGCGTCGAATGGTCCAGGGATTACGACGCACTGCTAGTCTGCTCTGAGCTCTTTAAAGCTTACTGGTAACTATATGCACCACCTGCTTTAACATTATACAAAGCTGCAGTACGTACTTTATATCTGTAATGTTTCCTTCTAACTGTTGATATTTGTAAGGACTGATTCCTTAAATATCATTTAAGCGAGATAGTTAATTTTTTTGGCTTCAAAGAGACAAAGAGATTCAACCAACTAGTCTGTAAGTCACTAACAATTAAAGCTAAATTTACAATTATAAATGTATTGTAATTTAATGTTCGTAATAAATAGTGCGATTTCAAAAATAATTCCTGACTGTTAATATAATTTTATAGTTTAAATAATGTTCACCGCTGGCAGATTTCCTTTCCTTAAGACTTAAACATTACCATTACTAACTTAGGCCACAGATTTAAAGGGTGCAAGTTTAATCAGTTAAAAATATATTCTGTAAGCCATCACGAGGAAGGATAACATAATGTTTCTGTGGAACAGATTGTAATGGTGAAGTGTGGTGTTTTCTTAGCGGTACGGACTGAATTTATTAAATATTATGTATACAAAATTAACGACTTCACTTTTACTCTATCCTAACCAGAAGGACGAGTGGGCATTGCCTGGGGACCTTCTAACTATAAGATGATCTTTCGCCGCCCTAGAAATCGGAGCGTCTCGTTTCCCCCCCAATAATTTTCTCTTTAATTCAACTCTTCTGCTATTATTCGTGTATCTCTCTGTGTTTTTTCGGTTTTAAAGGATTAATTAATACATAATCGATACATCGCGTGACGCATCCAATGAAGTTAAATGGGACTGCTTACGTTTATATGCATTAAATTTTTATATATCTTCAGTAGAATAAATAGTCATATTACCACAATATAACCACATGGACACACAAACACACGCCATTCATTTCTCGAAAAGTAAATTCCTTTCGAAAATTCGTTGATGTGTACACTAATTTTAACATTTATAAAATTTGGCACAGAAAACAGCTCACTGAATTGAACGGTGTATCTGAAAGGTTTGTACAGACTTTTTGCAGTTGGTCTACACAGAAAAGAATATTTTATAAAGTTCATTGCACACGGGGTCGAAAACTTTCTTTTTCCAGTTAAGTCTCTGCGAAGTTATCCGTGGAAGAGCTCAGTTGTCAGTTTCTCACAGCAAGGGCCATCGAGGACTGCCCAGTTCTACAAATACACAGATTCACCACATCGCTACAGTTATAACAACTTCGTTTCGTAACTATTTTACCTGATAATTCAAAATGAGGTACAGTCGACGTCATCAATTTTCGCAAAGAAGAATCCTGTGTAATCCAGTTCAGACCCCGTCAGCTGTTCAACTCCAGTGTTTAGGCAGATATGACCATATTCTGGCCTTGTCGTGCGAATGTGACGACACCTATCGCAAATGACGGATAGGTCGAGAACGCTGCGCGGCCCCCACGCTCACCTAACTTCATTCCCTGCTGATTTATACTTGTGGGGGAAACTTTAAAGCCTTGTTTATTCATCTTTTGTTGACGACGTAGGGATTCCTGAGCGTCAACAGCTGTCACAGGTTTAGCAAAAACCCTGACATCTCTGTGAATGTTTACAGTCACGGAAGACATTTTTAGAGCCTCTTGTAAATGTGCCAGAGAGCTGAGAGTCTATACAATCCTTTCTTGGATCTTTTACGAAAAGGAAGTTTTTTTTTCGCGGACTCATGTTTTTATGAAGTTACTGATTCTTTTGCTGTGTAGAACGCACCTCCAGTATATGTACGAATCTTTCAGATTTTTGTGGATTTTTACAAGTTTGAGATTTAATTATTATTATTATTGTTCTTTGCACAAACCTACAATCGATATGAATGTTGGAAATTGGCAGCGAATGACTAGAAGATATTACAACTCCATGTGCTTGTAATTATCACATGTTAGAAGATAAATCATTGCTATTTAATCTGTAATTAATTCATATTATAGCCAAATTATGAAAAGTTTATTTAGTATATATTAGCTTAAGGATTTATGTAAGATATATGTTTTTTTGTAAAATAAATATTAGATAAGTGTTTTTGTTTTCTCTGGATAATTTCATTCGAACGACTCCTTGTAGTGAAAGGTCACAGTCTGATATTTTAAAAATTTGTATCCGAAATGGTCCGGTATTAAAAAGAATTGCTGTGTTAAAATAGCCATAAAGTATGTTTAAGGAATCGGTGCTTCTGAGATTAATGGAGTTGTATACACAGTGAAACCTTTTCATTAATAATAGAAGTTTTGAAAGATGGAAGGAGACGCGGACATATTAAAAACTTCTGGCAAACAGAGGCGAATAGCAACAAAGGGAAATGTATTATGGACAGTATAAAACAGTACAGTACTTTGATAGACTCTGATAGAATGTGCCTTCGTTTTTTTGTCAGATATTAAGATAAAGACGTAAAACTCACTAATATCGACGCAGATGACCAAGAATTTACAGAACACACTCTAAATACAGAGTTTCAGATGTTTAACACCAATCTGTATGATGCGTAAGATTGTTTATAGTTTCAGAGCATACACGGTTGAAATATAAGCTTGAAAAGATGTTGAACTCTCACGGCCGGGAAGTCGTGATTCCATTTTTTTTGTGGGATTACTGATACGAAACCTCCCCCCCCAGGTTCAGCACAAAACACTTGTCGGCACATTCACACGAAGCTTTCCGGACAGGGTCTCATTTCAATACAGTTCATAACATCGTCTTGAATGCAGGAACCATTCCTCTTGAGTATCGACGTCCTTATCATGACGCTCCTCCTGAAAGAGGTAGACCTCAGGCGACGCTCCGACCTGGGAGAGCTGGATTGGGTTGAATCAACGGAATACCTCGACGCGCTACGCCACGAAAACTCAGTACTGCTCCTATGGGTCATCCCGAAACTGTTACATCTCCTGGTGCTCGAATACGCGGATGTCGAAGTCGTCCCTCTCCTCAGAAGAACCGCATCTCTCCGTCTCAGCCCGCACACACGCATGAATCCGTTTCGAAACTTCGAGGACATCAAATTGTAGAGGATTGGGTTGACGGCAGAGTTGAGATACAGCATGGTTCGACAAAAGTACAGGATGTTGTAGTAACCCTCTACGCCGAGGCTATGAACTTGCTCCGCGGACACAAATATGAACCAGACGGTAAATACCCTGAAGGGAATGAGACAGATAAAGAACGAGAGAACGACGGTGCCCAACATGAGGACCACCTGCTTTCTGGCACGCGTGTTGGTACTTTCCAAATCCTTGACAGCCGATGTGACGGGATCTGCCATTAGGTGGCGTGCCATGGCGGCGTACAGTACGATGAGTACCAGAAGTGGCACGAGAAAGAACAATGAGATGATCATGATAAAGAAGAAGGTGGACCAGAACGTGTTGACTTCCGTGAGACAGGCCGGAACGAGCGAGCCATCCAGGTACTCGCGGAAGGGGTCGTACTGGGCAATCAGCAAGATGGGACTGGCGGTCAAGGAGTATTTGGGGAACGGCATTTTGTGATTTGAGTGTAGAGGAAATGCGGAAAAGGAAGGGGTTTGACGTTCGAGTGAAGTTACGATGGATGCGTCGGTTCCATTCAGGTTCAGCGTCGCGTGGAAAGACGTGCAGGCCAGCGAAGTGCCACGTGGTTGTGGGGTGAAGCAGCCCGGAAAAAAATAAAGAACATAACAGGTATTACATTGTGTCTCATCAACAGTAACCAAGCACAACTCGCGAATATATTTTTGGTAGAATAATAACACTAGATATATTTCAACCTAATTCCAAAGGTATGTTAGTGGCTTGTGAAGAATTGGTTTGCCCCAGTCTCGTGCTACATTACGCAAGTGCGTTGATTACTAACGCCTGACGCCATAAGACCACAATCACGATCATGGTTACAGATCAGTATGTTCTGTTTGTTACAGTTTCCGTCAGCCTCTAGAAGAAAACCCAGTGTTTTCGACTAAACTCCGAAACTTTATTGGAAAGACAGAAAGACAGACAGAGAGGAAATAACAAAGAGTATAAGAGAATTATATAATAAATAAATAAAAATCGACAATCTACCAAGGACAAATTTTTAATAATAATCCACTGATGATATGTGAGTACTCTATTTATTCGCACGTAATATATATTTCACTTCGTTCTGCGATCAGGGTAAATCTTGACAACTCCGATCATTTAGTATAAGGACAGATACAGACAAGTGTCACTAGCAATGACGTTATACCTCATAATGAGCGAAATCAATGCCACACAATGTAACACCATCATCAAATCAACGTGTTTTTATCAAATTTGTGTTGTGTTCAAATTCGAAATTTAAATTTTCCATTACCGTTTATAATCATTGTATATAAACTATTTCTGTCTGTGTTTAGATAAAACGCAAAAATTTACATAATTATTTTCTTTTTTGGGGTAAAATTATTAAAACGAACTGTATTTTTCATGGCTTCTCTTGAAAGTTTGGTAGTATACTCAGTCGGTAAAGAATTCCCAACTTTTATAGTACCAGATGCCTCAGAGCTATTGCTATTAAACATACTCTTAAAGTTTATTTTTATTACGTGAACTAATCCTGTTTTTTTTTAATTTGGCAGGTAAGAGTGAAGAAACAGTGAAAAGGCATGTTCCGATTTTGACTGTAGACAGAGACTTCTGAAACACAGCGTTAATGTTTGCTAGTATAAAATTGCAGCGCCACACATAAATTAGTGACAGAACTGTGAACCTCTTTGTTCTCTGTCTTCTCTCGGTGCGAACTGAACACTCTAAAGGAAAGCATACATCATAAATTATTACCAGAAATTCCTGTTTTATGTTCTAAACAACTCATTGAACATAAATTTATAATGTAATGTTTCTGCAGTACAAAACAGCGGAAGGACATCTGGCGGGCAGGAATTATAATAATGTAGGCCACACGATAAAAATAAGATGCTTATGAAGTATTCTTGTACTTTACAACGTGTCTAAACTGGTTTATGATAAATAGAATAAAGCTAAATGCAAAAATATTTAGGAGAGAAACCATTGCACAAATGTCAATATTTTCACCGTGGTCTCGGCAGCCTGCCAAATACGTCATAAAACAGGATTACTTCAAATTTGTTTCGGGAAGCAACAGCGTTCACGACCAGATGGATGTACAAAAATGTGATAGGCACTAATTTCCATGTTTTCTTTCGTGGAAATTCGTAAAGGAAACGCATAGGGGGAGAGGGGAAAATTGCCATATGTCTCGCGCCACCAGAACGCACGTCCGCGTCGAAAAGCGTGTAACGGATTTCGAGCAAATGTGGTATTTGCGAAATCTACAGTGAATGTCGTGAGGTAAATTTATATTTCTATCTGCATTGGCTCACTTTAAATGGAGTTCAAGTTTAGCTTCGAATTTGTAAGAAATCTCTACATTAGACAAGGATAGCAAACCATTTATTTCTTTTATATATAATTAAGAAAAGCAACTTTATGCATCTCGTCGACGACATTCATGTCAGGGTGATTAAGTCGAGAAGAATGAGATGGGCTGGGAATGTAGCGCGCATGGATGGGACAAGAGGTGTGCACCGGGTGTTGGTTGGGAAGCCTGAGGGGAAGAGACAGCTGGGGAGACCTAGACGTAGATGGGAGGATAATCTCAGGCGGGATCTATGGGAGATAGGAGTTGAAGGAGACTGGATTTTGTTGGCCCAGGACAGGGTCCGGTGGAGGGCTTTGGTTAATTCGGTGATGAACCTTCGGGTTCGGTAAGCCATCTAGTTAGTTAGTTAGTTAGTTATTCGACGATATTCGCACTGCATTACCCATTTATAGGAACTTTATTCGATATAAACAGATGTTCTTGAATGCGTTGCGATTTAAACTGACTGAAATGTAGGTTTACAATGTTGGTTAAACATCCTGGTACTATTAACAGTTCTAGCCAATTGACAGTTGCTGCTCTCAAATTAACCACGCATAAGCAAAGAATTTAAAAAGAAACAGGCGGTCCTGGGTCAGAGACGGACAAGCTGCAGCCTGAGATGTTAAACAAATTTTAATTTAAATTTTGAGGAAGGCAAACGGAGAGGTTTGCAGTCTCTGGTACAATATATCAGCGTCCACTGACTGAAAAAAAAAAATCACAATTAATTTCATGTTTATTAATCTACCGAACCGGTTAGAATGCCGGACTTTCGCTAGCAAAGTAAATAGTTATTGTGGCTCCAAAATGATATATACTCTTCAAAGAGCTTTGTAGTGCAAATGATTCCAAAGTTACCAGGCTATGAATATTTTAAAAATTTGGGATTCTTTGTTACTGTTCCGCGTGTGACACACGATCATAATATGAATACAAATGGCCTCGGATACGCCATGAGTAGAAAGAAGTTCATTCATCCTCCAATAGGGGCACTGCGCGCTTGGCGTGGCAGGTCTAGTCATTACCCTCTGCCCCCGTCGGTGATCGACCCCCGGCCGTCCAGCCCGTAGCTAGTCACTATACTGACTGAGCTATCCCGGCTCATCTAGTCATTAAGTCTATTGTTATTTTTACAATTATTATTATTACAAGTATTATTGCTAATGTTGTCTGCAGGGACTTGGACATATTCGAGACGAAAATTGTCACACTTCTTCACATTCTATAATAGTATAATTTACTTAATTGATTTAAATTATTTTTTTTTTACAATTATGCTAATATATTTAGTTGGAATTTTTTTGTATATTAAAGTCCTCCGTATTAATGTATTTTATATTCTGCTTGTTTTAATTTCTATGTTTTTATTGTTTTCGTGTGCTTTATCTGTAATTGGCCTTCAGGCTGTTGATACAGCTCACTAATAATAAAGAATTTTATTGAATTATTATTAACATGAACTCCGTTGTACAGTTGGGTACTTTTAAAATTGATACTCAGCTACTTAAAAAAAGTATGAGTTTTATTGGACTCATTACGTCTTCCGGATATCAGGAGATTCAGAGGCAAGAAGTCATGGTTGCATTTCTAGACGGAGACTTGTAGACTGAGATAACTTGAGATTACTGCAAAGAATTTAACTTTCCTTGGATGTTTTTATCGCAGGGCATCAAGCAGAGTGTACTGTTCGCGACTGTAATCTTGAGACTAGCAATTCTCAAGATTACAGTCGCGAACAGTAACTGAGTCCATTATGCGAGAGTTCTCGTTGAAAGTTTGTGAATCCAGTTAAAAAAATCTCGCTGCTTTTATGGAACTCGAATGTTCATTTCTTTTATTTGTAATATCCAGCTTAGTGGACGTTAATTTGTAGCAGTTCAACATTACATAACATTCTTAATCATGTCTCTATAACGAGGTTTTCACTCGAGGTATTCCAATACAAATTTTTTATACTGTTTCTTGTTTCCTTCTTGCGTTATTATTCCTTTGTGACAATGAGACTGTATAGTGCAACGTGGTAAAGACAACGGCCCGCGAGCAGTCTGGTATAAGTTTCAGAGGTTCTTGCTGCCTCCATCATCAGGGCGATAAACTTATGGAGTGATTGACAGAAATCACGAACAATCTGGTTTGTGGTGATCAGAGAATTATCGTGCCGAATAAAAGTAGTGGTAACAACTTTACCGCGATATTTGGCGTTGCGGGTGGGGGGGGATCCAACTTTGATTGAACAAAACATGGCGGTCCCAAAATCCCAAAAGAACTTCTTGTGGACTGAACACCTCATTTTTCCGCGCATTTACAAGACAAATTACACAGAAAAAAAAAACAGTAAATTGTGCTGTATTCTATCTGATAAAATATGAAACAAAAAGTCAAGGTCATTGCAATGGGAAAGCTTTGCTCCAAGCTCCCTAGCAAATTATGATTTTTTATTTCACAAACGTTGCCTCTTTTTGTTTTAGAGTGTTGCATATACTGTTTCATATCAACTTTTATCTATTGGGTGTTTTTATATTCCGACTTAACACTTTCGACATGAAATGTGCACATAAATGTGTCGTGTCGCACAGACCTCATGGCAGCCAACGTATTAAACGATCACTTGCTGGGTCTTTCTCTGTTGTGGCTGCGTTGGTATTGTGGGTTGTGTGATGGGGGGGGGGGGGTGCGTAGGACCCATTGAAAACTGGAAATGCAGTAGATAATTTTGACCTATGCAAATTCTACTGGACACTGCGTGAATACAAGTTTTAAATAATGTAACACATTTCGACTTCTTTAAATTGCACAGAATAACTCTCTCTTGGGTCAAATGGTTTTTGAATCTATAGACAGCAAAAGTACTGACCTATTAGTTCTGTTTATCTGTAAAAATCTGATAAATTCTTGACGTATTACGATGGAATTAACATCGGTGATCATCAATAGTTTCTGTCACAAACGTCCTTAACCATTCCGAATGAATATTGAATAGCAAATTCGTATGAAGTTGTCAAAAGAGATACGCTCTCTCTCTCTCTCTCTCTCTCTCTCTCTCCCCCCATTACTTTTTTTTTTGTCC